TGGAAGAGCGTAGTCGATGTCACTGAACTGTGCATGTAGAAATTTTTTGAAATGGTGTATCTTTGGTTATATATATTTTCACCAAAAAAAATGTCGAGAAGGGAGAGGGTTGACATGTTGTGGGGTTGTTAACCAATGTCATAAAACTATATGCGTACTACTGTTTCATGAGAAACTATTTGTTCTGTAAGCCTTCACCTGAAGTACAATAAAAAAAAAAGGCAAAAACTACCAAAAAAAAAAAAAGTTAATTTAACAACAACAACAAAAATTCAGTGGCAAAAACTCTACAGAAATGGAATTAAAAAAATTTACAAGTTAGAGATTAGGAAATTCTGGTAAATAAATTTATCTTTCCCACTTTTAGTCCGTCATTGCTCACACCTCCTTCGTTGACATACAGTGTGCCTCTGGAACTACACAAAATGCCACTTCCTTCTCTTCTAGCTTCCCCCCGCCCACCAAGATCTCTGGACAGTTATGCAAATCTACTTCAATTCAACCAATCTGACTATAAGACTTGTTCCCTGGCTTGAAAGAATCTATAATCTAGCACAAGAGATGAAACAGACACAAGCAATTATAACATAAGGTAGACTAGGAAATGTGGAAGAAAAGAGATATCATGAAATGCTAGGGCAATTCACAGATGATTCGCTGAGTAGCAAACAATGAAACTCTTTCTCTTGAGAACCATGGAATAAGGACTATGTGAGAGAACCTTAGAAAAAACAGAATTTCGACAGATGGAGAGAAAGAGAAAGTCATTCTGGGGATGGGAAGCAAGGGACAGTGCCGAGGCTGTCAAGTAGTCAATGCTGTCTAGAGATAATGTGAAAAGTTAGGACGGGGCCAGACCATGGACAGCCTGGAACATAATGGCTTTGTATGTTACGTGGTTTATTTCCACAAGGAGCCCTGGTGGTGCAATGGTTAAGCTCTCAGCTGCTAACCAAAAGGTTGGTAGTTCGAACCCACCAGCTACTCCACTGGAGAAAAGATCTGGCAATCTGCTCCTGTAAAGATTTCAGCCTAGCAAACCCTTCGGGGCAGTTCTATTGTTCTACTCTGTCCTCTAGGGTTGCTATGAGTCGGAATCGCCTCGATGGCACACAACAATAACGTTATTTCCACGGCTGCATAACTTAAGATGTAAACTTGTTTGTCTGTTTGTTTTTACTTCCTGTTGTATAACGCAACTAATTATATCAGAAACATGTACTTTTAAATGGAAATTATTAATTATTCAATGGCATAAGGGCAAGAATGCTTTTTTTTTTTAATACTGAAACATTAATTTTAAATGGTGGCTCATCATTACTACAAATTTTCCTCCTAAAACTGCAGCATTATTATAATTTAATAGATTCAATGGAGTACAATTTTATTCAACTATTATATTAAAAAAATTTTAAGTCTTGACTTTATTTCAAGATGATTTTTATTATGAATCGCTAATGTAATCAAGTAATTATTTTGTGTCACGCACTACATAAGTACTTCATGCACATTATATCTCATTTAAAAAAAACCCGTTGCCATCAAGTCTATTCTGACTCATGGTTACCCTTACAGGACAGAGTAGAACTGCCCCAGAGGGTTTTCAAGGCTGTAATCTTTACAGAAGCAGACTGTCACATCTCTCTCCAGCGAAGCAGCTCGTGTGTTTAAACCACCGGCCTTACAGTTAGCAGCTGAGCACTTAACCACTGTGCTGCCAGGGCTCCTTATTTCATTTAAACCTCTTCTCACCAATAAATGGTGTCCACAGCTACTCCATAGGAAAGTGCAGAGTTGGGATATGAGCTCTTGTCTGACCCCAGAGCATAAATTCTTAGCAATTACAGCAATTCTCTCTCTCATAGTCAGAGAATGACTTATTTATAAGGGTAAAAAGTAGCAAGAAAGGAGGAAAAACAAAATTTTGAGTTTACTATAACTAATAAAGTCAAATTTAATATTTCATTTTAACTGGAAGGAAGGAAGAAAGCAAACTACCTTAGAGTCTTGCTGTAAGACTGTCTTAGGGGACATGCCATAGGATGGACTTAAATAGAACCCCATGGGATGCGGTCCAAGATGGATCACATTGTATTGAATCCAATATAAGAGCAATAATGGAATAGTTAGCCCAAGACAAAAACAGCTTATAGCACAGAAATTTTAAATCCATCAACAACTGCAAGTTCATGCAACTAGTATTTTCTCTGATTACCTTTGAATCCTTTGCATAATAAAGGGTACGGCCTCGAAGTTTGAAGTATCGCTTTTTCCACCTTTGGAAAGAGCTGGTTTGCTTCAATAGCTGTCCCTCTTTAATACTGGTCTGGGGAGAGGCAGAAGCAAAACGACATGATTAAAATGAAATTAAAAAAACAAATAAAATTCAAAATTAACGATACATCATTAAATCCACGTCTGTTTGACTCCAGAGGGTATACCCAACTATTACACTATACCAAAAAAACCCAAAAACCAAACCTACTGTCGTCGAGTCGATTCTAACTCATAGCGACCTATAGGACAGAGTAGAACTGCCCCACAGAGTTTCCAAGGAGCTCCTGATGGATTTGAACTGCTAACTTTTTGATTAGCAGCTGTAGCTCTTAACCACTACACCACCATATACTGACTCTTATTATCAACAAGACATAAAATACTGAGAAAAGTTTGTTTTCTCTAACAAAGTAATTAAGTTACATTGTTTACTTTCAATTTCAATAAGACATTTACTCTAGACCCTTTCTCTAGGATTGTCCTCCAGAAATTGTCATGAGATCATTAAAATTTAATGATCATATATGATAACAAAAGCATAAGCAGTAAAAAACAGAAGAGATAAATGGGACCTCATAAAAACTAAATACTTTTGTTCATCAAAGGACTTTATCAACAAAGTGAAAAGATAACCTACAGATTGGGAGATATTTGGGAACCATGTATCTGATAAGGGTCTAATATCCAAATGAATATTTTAAAAAAAACTTCTACAACTTAGCAATAAAAAGACAAACAATCCAATCAAAAAATAGACAAAGGACTTGAAGAGACAGTTTACCAAAGATGATGTTCAAATGGCCAATGAGCACATGAAAAGATGCTCAATGTCTTTAGCCACTGTTGTTGTGTGCCTACAGTTCATTATGAGCCATTAGGGAACTACAAATCAAAACCACAATGAGATACAACCTCACCTCCATTAGAATGGCAATAATCAAGAGTGGAAAACAAAGATGTTGGGTAAGGATGTGGAGAAATCGAAACCCTCATTCATTGCTAGTGGGAATGTAAAATGGTACAACCACTGTGGAAAACAGTTTAGAGGTTACTCAAAAAGCTGAACATAAGAAATACCATACCATCCAGCAATCCCTAGAGAAATAAGAGCCATCACACAAACAGACACATGCACACCCATGTTCATTGTAGCATCATTCACAATAGGAAAAAGAAACAACCTAAGTCCCCATCAACAGATGAATGGATAAACAAACTATTCTACATACACACAATGGAATACTACGCAACCATAAAGAACAATAATGAATCTGCGAAACATCTCACAACATGGATGAATCTGGAGGACATTATGCTGAGTGAGATAAGTCAATTGCAAAAGGACAAATACTGCATGAGACCACTATCATAAAAACTCATGAAAAAGTTTACACACAGAAGAAATAATCTTTGATGGTTACAAAGGAGGGGAGGGGTGGGGATGGAAAAACACTAAATAGACTATAGGTAAGTAGTAACATTGGTGAAGGGTAAGACAGTACACAATACCCAGGAAGTAAGCACAACCTGACCAAGGCAAAGTCACAGAAGCTTCACAGACACACTGAAACTCCCTGAGGCACCAAGTCACCAGGCTGAGGGCTAGGGACCGTGGTTTCGGGGGACATCTAGCTCAACTGGCATAACACAGTCTATAAACAAAATGTTCTAAACCTGATTGTGGTGAATAGCATCTGGAGTCTTAAAAGCTTGTAAATGGCCATCTAAGATACGGCTACTGCTCCCATCTCAGCTGGAGTAAAGGGAAAGGAAGAAAATCAAAGACAAGAGAAAGATTAGTCCAAAGGACTAATGGAACACAACTACCACAACCTCCACCAGACTCAGCCCAGAACAGCTACCACCACCAACTGCTCTGACAGGGATCCCAACAGAGGGTCCCAGACAGAGCTGGAGATAAATGTAGAACAAATTTCAAATTCACATACACACACAAAAAAACCCAGACTTACTGGTCTGACAGAGATTAGAGAAACCCAGAGAGTATGGCCCTTGGACACCCTTATAACTCAATGCTGAAGTCACTCCTGAGGTTCACCCTTCAGCCAAAGATTAGACAGGTCTATAGGGCAAACAATAACACACCTTAGGAATATGCTTCGTAGTTCAATCATGTCTATGAGGCTAAATGCGCACACCAGCCCAAAAGCAAAGACGAGAAGGCAGAAAGGGGCAGGAAAACTGGACGAATGGAAACAGGGAACCCAGGGTGGAGAAGCGGAGAGTGCTGACACATCATGGGGTTGGCAACCAAAGTCACAAAACAATTTGTGTATTAATTGTTTAATGAGAAACTAATTTGTTCTGTAAACTTTCACCTAAAGCACAATAATAAAAAAAAAAAAGCTGAACATAAAACTACCATATGACCCAGCAATCCCAATCAGAGGTATATACCCAGAAGTGAAGGCAGAAATGCAACAGAAACCTATACACCGAGGTTCACTGCAGCTTTTCACAATAGCCAAAAAAGGGGAAATCCACTGAAATATCCATCAACATATGAATGGATAAACAAAATGCGGTATATAGTACAATGGAATACTACTCAGCCACAAAGAAAAATGAAGTCCTAATGCACGCTATGACATGGATGAACCTTGAAAACACCATGTTGAGTGAAGTAAGCTAGTCACGAAAGGACAAATGAATGATCTCACATGAGATAAGCAAATAGATAGAAAACAAACATTATTAATGGTTACCAGGGGTGAGAGGGAGGAGGAAAGGGGGAGTCTTTGCTTGGGGGACATTGAGTTTATGTTAATGGTGGTGGGATAACTTGGAAAAGAGTAGGGATAGTGGCTGCACAACATGAATGCAATCAACATCACTGAATTTTACACGCAGAAATTGTTGAATTGGTTAATGTTTTGGTGTGTGTATTTTCACCACACATACACACCCACACCCACACACAAATTAATGTTGGCAACGTACTGTTGAAACTTCATTACCAAAGACAGACTTCAAGATGGGCTCCATCACACACTAACGGTATGAACCAAGGCAAGTTACTCCAATTCTCTGGGCCCCTTTTTCCTCACCTTAAAACAAAATGGTAATAATAATACCAAATTCTCAAGTTTGTTACATCTAATTTAATTATAAGATAATGCCTATAAAGCATTTACTGCCTATAAAGCACTTAAGGAGGCCTGGTAGTGCAGTGGTTTAGCACTTGGCTGCTAACTGAAAGGATGGTAGTTCAAACCCACCAGCCGCTCCGCAGGAGAAAAGCCCTGGAGTCTGCTGCCATGAAGAATACAGCCTCGGAAGCCCTATGGGGCAATTCTGCTCTGTCACATGGGGTCGCTAAGAGTCAGAATCCACTCGATGGCACCTAACAACAACAATAAAGCACTTGGCACACCTTCCTGGTTACAGAAAATATTCAGTAAATGGTATGATCTGTCATTAAGCTAGTAAACTCAGGGAATATGTGCCAGGCACCAAACTATAAGAGCTTCTCGGAAAAATAAGTAAGTGCTCACAGGCCCCTGTGAGGGCAAATAACAGCTGGAGTAGAAGGAGAGTATCCAGAGATGAAGGAAGACAAGAGCCAGTATACTGCAGGCCACAACAGGGAGTGTGCTTGTTATTCTAAGTGCTAAAAGCTGGCAAAATGTTGCAAGCAGGAGAGTGACGAGGGGGAGACGGGGAGAAAGGAGGTGAGGGATCAATTAGGAGGTTGCTGCAGTAGTCCAGGGGAGAGACACGGAAGCTGGAATTAGGGGTGTAACATCATCAAGATGGAGAGAAGCAGAGGAATTTGAGAGGTCATTTTGAAATCAAATCTATTGGACTTGCTGATAGACATGAAGGGCAAAGTAGACAAAAGAACCAAAGAAAATGTCTAAGCAGCTTGGGCAACTAGATGCAAAAGACTAAGGGAGAAGGAGCTGATAGGGGAGGGTGGGCTGGTTGAGAAATCAAAATTAGAGAAAACCATGACTCAAAAGATTTCATTCTTTTTGGAGATTCTAATGGGGAGTGCAATGGAGAGGAAGAAATGTTTGCTCTTAAGATGCAGACTAAAACTTCCTACAGTTAGCCGTGAAAATCATGAGTTCATTTGAAGCCTTCTTGGGGAACAATCCTAACCCACTCACATAAGCCCTCATTCTGAGATCAGAGGTAAATGGGGACCATACACTGGGATTACCCATCCTAAAATAGATTCCTGTCGGCCCACATGTTAAAGCTTCCCTTGTTCTTTACCAAGGAGAGTGGTTGAAGGTCCTGACCCCAGACCCTACATCTCTTAAAACCCTAGGACTCTGAGAAAAATACACTACAAGTGCTGCTAAATTAATTTCATGATGCAGGGATTTCATAATAACATCTTATGATGTCACCGCATGAGATATTTTTTTCCAAATATGGTAGTACAAAAAGTTAAAAAAAAAAAAAAAAAAAAGACCAAATCAAAGGCTACTGCTATTAGAGCATGTCCCTCCTTCCTGTCCAAAAAGTGACTGAAAGTTGAGGAGGAACCCCCAAAGGAGGTGGCAGACAGTTCAGAGTTAAATTATAAAAGGAAGTTTTAGATACTTGCAAAGTTTAAGGCATGACAATAGAAAATGCCCCAGGAGAAAGAACACTTGTCATCGATTCTCAAGTAAGTACTATAAAAGGGTTAAGGTAAATGAACTCCTTCCAGTCACAAGACATTAGCTATTTTCTAAAACTTTACATAAATGGAAATATGCAGTATATACTTTAGGTCAACTTCTTTCACTCAGGAGTGCAGACAGTTGCTCAGCTGCTAAGCAAAAGGATGGAGGTTGGAGTCTACCCAGAGGCACCCTGGAAGAAAGGCCTGGTGATCTACTTCCAAAAAACCAGCTATTGAAAATCCTATGGAGCCCAGTTTTACTTTGACACATATGGGGTCACCATGAGTTGGAGTCAACTCAACGGCAACCTGTTTTCTTTCACTCAGCATGAGTATTTTGAGATGCATACATACTCCTGTGTATATCAATACTACATCCCCTTTTACTCTGACTAGTATTCCATTGGATG